TCACTGAGTATACACAAGGCCCTGGGTAACGTCTTGAGCACTATGAAAATTAATTAAAATGAAAACCATATTTTGGAGCAATTTTGGGGGAGTAGCGTCCACGGGGCTCCTCACCCTGCGAGGCAGATGTGGAAGCTCAGGTTTACTCTCACTTCCAGGGCGGCTCTGTGGGGTCTAAACCTGGGTCCTTTACCAAAGCCCCCCTTTCTTGGTGGTGTTCCCGATTTTCAGGTCCCCAGGTCCATGACAGTGGTGGGAACCACTCAGCCTACGGGGTCAGAAGCACCCTGGAGGAGGACATAGTGCCACTGCAGACAGCTGTCCTCTCCTGTCCCCCACCCTGCCACTCTTGAATATTTAGTCCAGATGATCTGGTTATCTCAGAGGAGTATTAGTCAGGAAGACGAACTCTGCCCTCAACGGAAGCTGGCAGTGGGGACGAAGAGGGTGGGGACAGTGGAATTAACAGGTGTGGGGGGGACCAAGAACCTGTGCGAATTCAGGGTCACAGGCTGAGCAAGGGGAACAGGATGCAGGGAGGTGTGGACACCTGATGGCTCCATGGCTATTCTGCAGGGGCACGGGATGAGGGGTAGCAGTGTCACATCCCGAGGTTCTGCCTGCTGCCCTTGTGCCCAGGGAGTAGGGTGGGGACTCAGATGGCACGGAAGGAGAACTGAGCCATGGGGTGAGAGGGACTAGCAAGGAGCTGGCACCAGGGAAGGGGCAGCCAGGACACCCCAAGGATCCAGGAGGGGTCAAAGGGTAGAGATCAAAGCAGGGGGTGGCCCTGGTGGAGGACGGAGGACTTTCCAAAGTTTTAGTGACAAGGGGCAGAATCGGGTTGCAGGTAGAGGGAAGGAGCAGGGGCCGGGGTGAGGACAGCCCCAAGGGTTCTCCTGCCACCGCTGCCACCTGCAGAGGCCCTGCAGAGGCTTTGCAGCATGAATACCAGAATCCTCCGGAACCTCGTCCATCTGTGCAGGAAGCGCCCAACACCCTCGACCATCCGGCTCTGCCTCAGGCCCAGCATGACATTTGTGGTGGGTTTTCTGGAAGCTTTTTGGTTTTGTTTTTCTGTTTTGTTTTTTGCAGTGCTGGTTGGTGGAACCCAGGGCCTTACACATGCTAAGTAAGTGTCCCACCTCTGAGCTGTTTCCTCAGCCCCTTGGGGTGCTTTATTCATTTATTTACTTTATTATATAGTTATCTGTTTAATCTTGTGGTACTGGGCATTGAACCCAGGGCCTCTGAACTGAGTTGCATCTCCAATCCCTTTTAAAATTTTTTTAAAACTCTGAGATAGGGTCTGGCTAAATCAGAAAGATATCTGAACTGAGCACAAACTTGCAATCCTCCTGCCTCAGCCTCCCAGAGTGCCCACATTATAGGTGTGCACCACCACGTCCTGCACTTGTGGTTGTTTTCAAATGTGGGTAAAAGTTCTTAACATTTGTTCCCTTTGTCCCCCTTGAGTCTAGGCAAGTTCTTGGCCAGTTCTCTCACTATAGCATGGTGGAAGTCATGCCACGTCACCCTCAAGGCTAGGTCATAAAAGGTCATGCAGCTTCTGCCTTGCACAATGCTTCTGAATTCATCCCTACTCTGTATGTCCCTACCTCTGTTCTTTTCATTACCATGTAGTATTTCACTATATGGATATGCCACAGTTGTGCTTTCACCAACTGGCAGACATTGTCTTGTTTTCCAGTTAGGTCAATTACAAATAGAGCTTTTGTAACTGCTGTAGCCTGAGGTTTTATATAGACATATATGTTCTTGTTTTGGGTAAATTCCTAGGAATGGGATGTGCCCTTTCTTTGCCCTTCTTTTTACCCTGATACCTGACATGTGGATGTGATGTCTGGAGCTCTTGCTGCCATCTTGGGCCATTTGATGTCAGCAATGCACTGAATCAGAAGGATCCTGGGTCTCTAACCCTGCAGAAATCCATAGTAGCTACAGATGACCTTCCTTAGAACTTCTCAAGTCAAAGGTGTACACGTTCATCTTCATTTTTTTTTTTTTTTTTTGAGACAAGGTCTCATTGTGTAGTTGAGGCTGGCCTCAAACTCATAGCAATCCTCCTGCCTCAGCTTCCCAAGTGCTGGGATTACAGGTGTGTGCCACCACACCCAGCAATCTTCACCCTTTAAAAACACCATTATTGGGGGATTTTTTTCTACTTGCAGAAAATCTCATTTTAACTATATGCCACCCAGAAAAATCCTTTTAGGGAGTGGAATAAGCATAAACTACCTAGAGTGAGTTTTAGTTGCTGGCAGATGAGAGCCCTGATGGGAAGCTTCCCTGTGTCACTGCAGAGGTGGCATCTTGGCACTGAAGCCACAGCAGCCAGCTTATGACCGTGAACGTGCTGATGACTGGCACCCAGGTGCTTGGTGGCACTTGTGAGCCACTGACTTAGCCAACGGGAGAAGCGCCCTATCTTCTGGGCTCCACAAGATGCAAGGAAACAAGCACCCTCTTAACAAAGTGACAAGTCACCTGTCACTTGCAATGTACGGAAACCACCTTACCCCTTCCTCCCAAAGGCCGCTTCACCTAGCATCCAGCACCGCACAGCCGATTTCCCCCACAGCCACTCATTGGCGTTGACCGCTCTCCCGATCACAAACCTCTTTCCTGCACCTTGCCTGTCTCAGAAAATCCTCACAAGTCCCATCATTTAGGACACTGAAAATCCCCATTTCACAAGTAGGGAGCCCCAGGCCAGGCAAAGTAATGACTTAACCAAAGTCCCTAGCAGGTAAGTAGCAGTGCTCTGCCTGTCCGCCCAGGCCTGTGACATCCACCCCGAGTGCCTGGTCTGGATCTCAGCTGCCTTTGTCTTGAACTTTACGCCATGGATACAGGGGTTTTGTTGTCTTGCCCACTCTTGGCACGCACACTGTGCCTTTGCTCAAACATTGCTATTGCCTGCTAAACCCTTTCCCATCTCCACCTTCACAGATCTTCTGAATCCAAAGTGAGTCCAGGCATCCCTCCAAGTAGAAGAAACAGCCACTCTGGGTCTCGGTGATTGGATCACGAGGGAACATGTGACATGGCTGGACCAATCAGAGTAAACCCCAGGACTTCTGGGAAAATAAGAAGTCCTTTTTCCTACAGGTGGGTCAGCTGGGAAGATGAGGGTGCTGTGGGCTTCTGGGGTACCCTGCAGGAAGCCCACCCAGAAGAGCACAGAGAGAGAGCAATGGAGAGTGCTCTTCATGATGTTGTCTCTGACTAGTGCCTTATACTTCCCAGTTCTGTCAGCCATGACCACCTCATCTTTGTGTAAGCATTTGAATTGCAATTCTGGTGCTGGCAATCAAGATCCTAACTAATAAAAGCCCCTAATTTATAATATAACACCTTTCTTTATTGTTTTTTCAAAAATTAATATGGTGCATTTTTCACAAGCCACATGTTGGCCATGGTCAACTTCCCAGTCTGGGGAAGAAGACAGATGTCACCAAAGAAGAAAAAGTTAACATGAGGCTAGAAATGTGGAGTGTGCTCTAGAGCGGCTGGCCAGTGCCGTGAGAGTACCCAGGGGACCCGCTCTCTGTCAGATCCTGGCCTTGATCCAGGATCTGGCTGGAAACAGCACAACATAGGACGTATTTAGAATTCTCATCTCCTCCCTGAGAGCCATGAGAACCCACTGCTTTGGGGTGATGGTTTTTAAATGTTCAATTTTTACTTCCAGACCTCCTCCAACCCTTCTTTTACCTCCTCTCCCACTCAAGGCATCAGCCATTTCTGATCATTTGCACACCCAAGTCCTTCCACCTAGCTCCTCTGCCAGCTCCTAAGGCTTTGTCTTTGGCCACACAGTCACCTCCATGTTTGTATTCCAGCCCACAGGAAGAAGAGGAATTCTGGGCCTGGCACTGGTCACTTCTCCTGGAATCCCATTGGTCTGATCTTAGTCATGTGATCCTCCCTAAATGCAAGGAAGGCTGGGAAATGTAGTCCTTTGCTAGGTGAGGGCCTGAGTTTGAGTGTGCCTTGGCAAAATTCATGTCTTAGAACATGGTTTGAATGTGTGTATCTTGAAAGTTCATATCTTGGAATTGAACCTCAAGGTGATAGTATTTAGAGGTGAGGCCTTTGGGAGACAGCTAGGCCAAGAGGGTTCCACCCCTGTGAATGAGATTAGTGTCCTTCTAAAAGGACTAAAGGAAGTAAGTTCAACCTTTTGGTCCTTCTGCTATGTGAACATGGAATCAATGCTGCTAACCTGCTAGGCCTTCCGTCATGGACTTCTAGCATCCAGAACTGTAACAAGTCCCTGACTTTACTTATAAATTCCTCCATCTGAGACATTGTGTTATAGCAGCAGGAATAGACAAAGACAATGGCCATGTTCCAAACTGAAATTTGGGCTATCTTATAACTTTCTAGTGCAATGTATCTTGGTTCATGAACTTAACTGGTTCTGTGATTCTGGGAAAGATGGCCAGGTTCACGTTTGTGCAAGAAAGATGCCCACGGTTATGTCTGTCACCAGGTGCAGAGTTTGCAAACAAAAGTGAAATTCTGCCAAATGCTTCTGTTTCTGAACCAAACTGTTCACAAACAAAAGCGCTGGTGAACCAAGGCACCACTGTATTGTTCAAGACACACTCCACATACCATGTATTCACATGGTGTAAGAGCCTACGGTTTTCTCACCGTGACCCACACATCAATACCTCACACTCTGCCCTTTTTATTCACAGTAACAGCTTCAGGGAGATGAGATGTACATATCACTTTTTCACACTTTTTATAGCCAAAAAATGTTGCACTGCGAAACTGTGTCACACTTCTCTATTCACAGGCCTGTGTGTGGACATTCAGTTGTCCACACTGACATCTGATATATCAGCTTTTGTTTTTTCCCACAGTACTAAGGATTGAACCCAGAGCCTTTTCACTGAGATACATCCCAAGCCCTTATTTTATTTTGAGGCAGGATCTTGCTAAGTCGCTAAGTTACCTACCCTGGGCTCAAACTTGCAATTCTCCTGCCTCAGCTTCCCAGAGAGGCGCCGCCACACCCAGCTGATAGAAGCTTTGTTTGTGTGGACCTGTTTCATCCTCTTTGGAGGCGAGGGGCCACCTTCTGTTGCTTCCTTGACCCAGTTTACTGCCTCACACTCAGTGTTTTAACACCACACTCTGGCTTTGCTCAGAGATCCATGGATCCACCGAGGAGGCGTGGTCAGGGTGGGCACCACTAACGTCTGCTGAGCTGTCTCCAGTGCCTGTGTTCAGCTGTCACTGGAGGACCTGAGACAGCCTCATCCCATATCTGGCAGGGGATGGCCGTTGGCCAGAGCTACAAGGTCCCAGCCATGGTGGCCCTCATCATCCGGCGGGACGGCCTGGGAACAGAAAGAAGGGATGAATAAGTGCTGCATGCACAGACCTTTCAAGCTTAGGCTTGGGTCACTTTGGCCACCATCATATAATGTGAGTCACAAGTCCCAAACCCCAACACCGAGTGTGGAGAAAGAGATCCTACCTGGGAAGAGCTGCAGCAGGCACGGCCACCTCTGCCAGCTGCTCAGGGGCACCTTGTAAAGTGGGATTGCTCACTGTCATCGCAGTGCAGCGGGAAGTGTCATGGCTTGGATCTGAGATGTCCCCAGGGTCTAAAAGCCTGGCCACCAGTCTGTGGCACCACTGAGAGGTGGGGAAACTTTCAGGAGGAAAGGCCTGGTGTGAGGAGGTTATGTCACTGGGCCACACAATGAAGGGGACATTGGGACCTCACCTCCTCATACTTCCTGGCCACCGTGGGTAAAGTTTCCTCCCCCAATATAATGCTCTGAGCTGCTGTAGGCCCAAAAGGATGGAGCCAAGTGACCCTGGACTGAACCTCTGGAGCCATAAGCCAGGTTAAACCTTTCCCCGCTAGAAATTACCTCAGGTATTTTGTCGCAGCAGTGGAAGGAACACTGAAGAACACAGATACGACACAGACTGTCAAAGTTCATGCTCCCCTCTGTGATGTCACAGAGAGCTCTGGTCCAGCAGGTCTGGCCCTGTGGCCCTCACCCCAGGGATGGCAGACAAGTGGCAGAACAATCAACCACTCGAATCCAGTGCCTTGGCTGCAATGGCATCCAGCAGGGTACTTTCTAGTCTCCAGCCTCTGCAGGACAGGCGGCACCCCAGACAGTGGTGACACGTGTCCTGTCTGACAGGGTGGGGAGAGAGGTGAACCCACAGCAACAGCAGGGAAGATGAAGCAGGAGTTCTTGGCGCCCAGAAACCATGTTCTCAGAGCCTCTTGCCATGGGAACGCTCAGGCCGGCCATCACTGCGGAGCAAGGTGTCTGTGCGCCTCAGGCACAGCCTGCCCAGACCAGAGCCCGCAGCAACCACACACGCTCAGGGCTGTGTCCTGCATCCCAGAGAAACTGCCTTGCCTGATCCTCACAGCCACCCCAGAAAGGAAGGGGTGGCTCAGCCAGGGGAAGTCACACACCGGGGTCACCCACAGGATGACAGACCAGGGCTTAGGATCTGAGTGGGAGGGAACACGTCCCACAGCGGCACAGCTGTCTTGGCCATCAACTTCCAAGATGCACAGTCCCTAGACCGCAGGCCAGAATGTCAGAATGCCCGCCAGGCGCCAAGACCATTTCTGCAATTCCCTGCAGGCCTGGAGTGCCTGCGGGTCTGTACCTGGCTCTCCTGTCCAGACCCCACTCTGCTTGCACAAACTCATCACCAAGGGCCACGGCTGAGCATCTCACTCCCAGCTTGCGTGTGACCACCAAGGGCACATGGGCCGGAGGCTCGGTCCTTGATATGGCAGCACTGAGAGGTGGGGGCCTTTAAGAAGTGGGGCACATAACCAGGCGTGGTGGCACACGCCTGTGATCCCAGCACTCGGGAGTCTGAGGCAGGAGGATCACAGCAAGTCTGAGACCAGCCTGTGCTACAAAGTGAGCTCAAGGCCAGCCTGAACTGCATAGTGAGACCTTGTCTCAAAAAGAGAGAAAAAAA